TCCCCACTGCAAGGGTTAACTGCTCAGTTTTCTCTGGATAGAAGATATACGCACCTGATCCTCACTTCTGCGGCAGTGAATTCTCACCTCTTCCCTCTTCTGCTCCAGATGTGGTTTGTCCCTTGGCGTCCTCAAATTGAATACAGGTGAATGGATCGTATTAAACATGATCACATCAGCAGGGTTTCGACTGCCAGAGCACAGAGAAGAGACTGCGGGCACTAGTATAGCAGCCGGGGGATTGAGAAATATGAGCAGTTAAAGTGACACTAAACTCAGGAGTTAAATCTTAAAAATGCATTCAAGTCCATTAACTATTAACAAAAATGTATCTTATTTGTGTATCACTCGGCTGGAGATCCTCCAATCATCTCTGAATTGGTGCTGACACTGTCCTTCCTTCTGGAGGGGGGCTACTTTTGTTCCCCATGGTCCCTGTGTGTGTTGTAAAGTAGTCACCGAACCAAGCTCACTCCCGTGATGGACTACAATCTCATGTTTAGTTTACTGATTTGTATTGAGATTTTAGTCCATTACAGGAGCGAGCTTGGAGCGGTGACCACTTTACAACACACACAGGGACCATGGGGAACAAAAGTAGCCCTCCTCCAGAAGGAAGGACAGTGTCAGCACCAATTCAGAGATGATTTGAGGATCTACAGCCGGGTGATACACAAATAAGATACATTTTTTTTAATAGTTAAGGTTCTTGAATGTATTTTTAAGATTTAACTCCTGAGTTTAGTGTCACTTTAACCCTTCCCAATGACCACCAGAGGCAGCAGCAGCAGGTACTTCTCTCTAGTGGTAATTGACAGTAATTACCATCCTCCGTCTAGTGGTCAGTGACTGTAAATGACCATCCTCCCTTTAGTGGTCAGTGACTGTAATCACCATCATCCTCCCTCTAGTGGTCAGTGACTGTAATCACCATCATCCTCACTCTAGTGGTCAGTGACTGTAATCCCCATCATCCTCCCTCTAGTGGTCAGTGACTGTAATCCCCATACTCCCTCTAGTGGTCAGTGACTGTAATCCCCATCCTCCCTCTAGTGGTCAGTGACTGTAATCCCCATCCTCCCTCTAGTGGTCAGTGACTGTAATCACCATCATCCCTCTAGTGGTCAGTGACTGTAATCCCCATCCTCCCTCTAGTGGTCAGTGACTGTAATCACCATCCTCCCTCTAGTTCTCAATTACTTTAATTACCATCCTCCCTCTAGTGGTCAGTGACTGTAATCCCCATCCTCCCTCTAGTGGTCAGTGACTGTAATCCCCATCCTCCCTCTAGTGGTCAGTGACTGTAATCCCCATCCTCCCTCTAGTGGTCAGTGACTGTAATCACCATCCACCCTCTAGTGGTCAGTGACTGTAATTACCATCATCCACCCTCTAGTGGTCAGTGACTGTAATTACCATCATCCACACTCTAGTGGTCAGTGACTGTAATTACCATCATCCACCCTCTAGTGGTCAGTGAAGGTAAATCATGGTATAACCCTAAATATTCCACCTTAAAACTTAAGGTTGTTCTATAGTAACTATGAAATATATGGAGAGAGAGAGAGAGAGAGAGAGAGAGCGAGAGAGAGAGAGAGAGAGAGAGACTTTCTTGCTACTTTAAATACAAATAATGGTTTGGACACAGGTGTGCTTTAAATACGTATAAAACATTTTTAGTGACCCGATATGAGAAGGGATCCAATCATACCTGTGCAGTGTACTCCTTGAACAGCTTCTAATGATCCTTGCGGTAGGGATTTCAGTACCAATGTTGTGTTTGGTGTCCCACAGCCAGATTCTTTGCACACCACGTGAGCGAGCGGAGACTCCACACTCCATTGGTCATCACACACCTGAGTACAAATACATAGAGTCATTAAATCTGACCTCCGGCCCCCCATTCAGTCTTATACCTGACCTCCAGCCCAGTATTTTATTTTTTTTTAAAAGGCAATTGCTGATTAAACACTCAGGCGGTCTGTGCGGAGCGTTTTTGCTGGCTGTGTGGCTCTCAGGTGGTCTCTGCAGAGTTAATAGCGGCTGGGCGGCTCTCCAACGATCTGTGCGGGGTTAATGATGGGTGTGTGGCTCTCAGGTTGTCTGTGCGGAGTTTATGGTGGCTGCGCGGCTCTCAGGTTGTCTGTGTGGTGTTTATAGTGGCTGCGCGGCTCTCCGGTGGTCTGTGTGGGGTTAATGGTGGCTGTGCGGTTCTCAGGTGGTGTGTGCGGAGTTTATGGTGGCTGCGTGGCTCTCAGGTGGTCTCTGGAGAGTTAATAGCGGCTGCGCGGTTCTCCAACGATCTGTGCGGGGTTAATGGTGGGTGTGCGGTTCTCAGGTGGTGTGTGTGGAGTTTATGGTGGCTGCGTGGCTCTCAGGTGGTCTCTGGAGAGTTAATAGCGGCTGCGCGGTTCTCCAACGATCTGTGCGGGGTTAATGGTGGGTGTGCGGTTCTCAGGTGGTGTGTGTGGAGTTTATGGTGGCTGCGTGGCTCTCAGGTGGTCTCTGGAGAGTTAATAGCGGCTGCGCGGTTCTCCAACGATCTGTGCGGGGTTAATGGTGGGTGTGCGGTTCTCAGGTGGTGTGTGTGGAGTTTATGGTGGCTGCGTGGCTCTCAGGTGGTCTCTGGAGAGTTAATAGCGGCTGCGCGGTTCTCCAACGATCTGTGCGGGGTTAATGGTGGGTGTGCGGTTCTCAGGTGGTGTGTGTGGAGTTTATGGTGGCTGCGTGGCTCTCAGGTGGTCTCTGGAGAGTTAATAGCGGCTGCGCGGTTCTCCAACGATCTGTGCGGGGTTAATGGTGGGTGTGCGGTTCTCAGGTGGTGTGTGTGGAGTTTATGGTGGCTGCGTGGCTCTCAGGTGGTCTCTGGAGAGTTAATAGCGGCTGCGCGGTTCTCCAATGGTCTGTGCGGGGTTAATGATGGCTGTGCGGTTCTCAGGTTGTCTGTGTGGTGTTTATGGTGGTTGCGTGGCTCTCAGGTTGTCTGTGTGGTGTTTATGGTGGCTGCGCGGCTCTCCGGTGGTCTGTGTGGTGTTTATGGTGGCTGCGTGGCTCTCAGGTTGTCTGTGTGGGGTTAATGGTGGCTGTGCGATTCTCAGGTGGTCTGTGCGGAGTTAATGGTGGCTGTGTCACAGAAAGTGCAATACTTTGTCCAGGCTTAAAACCTATTGCTGGATAGAAGACAACTGTAATCATTTAATCAGAGAAACAGATTCTAATAGGGAACCCCCCACCCCTTCCAACAAGACCCCCGGCAGCACAATCGTCCCCCTCACAGCCATTCAATCCTCTATATCGACTTACCCTGTACGAGTTGGAGAGGTCGACGTTGGAAGTTTCACGAAACCCAACAGCATCCCGGCCACACAGTGTGCAGGGGGCGGGGCATGTAACACAGGCACACTCTCCTCTCGCCGCCTGTTACTAGGGATGCGGCCGGGAGAGGAGCGGTGACCGGCCCCCTTGCTGAGAAGCCCGTCGGCCCCAGTTCCCTGGACTAAACAATATTCCACCAAGGGCGGGGGTGCCCAGGACCAGTCCCCACTGGGCCCCCCAGCCCGGGGGCTCTGGTACAACCCGCAGTAGTTCCGCCGTGATGTGCCCGCTTCAGTGATCGAGAGTGGCGATCACTCTTCTCGTCTCTTTCCTCTCAATGAGAGGAGAGAGCCGAGAAGAGTGACTGCCGCTGCGGCGGCCGTTTTCCAAGGGTGCCCCCCTCAGTCCCCTCTGCCCACATGCTTGCAATCTCCGGATCTTACTGGGCCCCCAACCGTCTTGGGCCCCGGGCGGCTGCACCGGCGGTAGTTCCGCCACTGCTCTAGCCTCCACTTCTGTCTTGCACAGTTGTACTGGCTCCTCTCCTGGACTGACATGGCTTCCTCTGATCTCACTGTACACTGCGAGCTTCTCACAATGTGCATTAGAAGTTGCAGCAAGTCAAATAGAACCTGCCTCATTTCCTGGATGGAGGACGTCCAGCATCATCTAGCTTTTTCTTCCCCCGCCTGACTGTCCCTGCCCCGCCCCTTTCATTCATTGGATTTCAGTTCTTTCAATCACAGAGGGTCAGCGTCCTATGCTGACGTTGCCTCGGGTGCTCTGCATGCAAGTACACCCTGCCTGCTTACCTTTACTACTCTAGGCTAATATCCACCCTTCAAGGTATATTGATATTTGCATAACTCCTCCCAAGAGCCAAATATATTAAACAAAATAGTTTGCGCTGGAAGTAGGTATGTCGGCACCAGCCGCAACAATGTATGTATAGATGTAAAATGGAAGGCTTGTATGTTGCGCTCGGTTCAAAATCTATTTGGTTTGTCCGTGATATATCATCAAAACAATAGTTTATATAAATCGATGTGGTGAAAGGTGATAATACAATTAAATGAACACAATCTATATAAAAAAAAACTAATGTGTATATACTAAATGTGGATGTGTGATCACAAATGCTAATAAATAAAGTATGTGAAAAAACTGAGTGATGGCTTTTAAGCGGAAGATAGAGCTAGTTTGTGTCCTCCCCTTACCCTAAGAAGAACTATGGGGAAAAGACTTAACCCCATAGTTCTCCTTTAATAAAAAAATTAGAAATACCTTTTTTTCACCCACACATTCGCATGCATCAGGATGTGCATGAACGCGGCATGCGTCCTCACTATACCCTGGTAAGAACGGGGCCTTAGGGCCCAGTCACACCATAAAGAGTGCGTAAGTAATAAGGAGTAGAAGGATACCTGTTGATCCTACCAGTCCCCCTGATCATGATAAGCACAGAAGCAAATCCATTCGAGCGTGGTCAGTTTGCGTCCCTGCTTCCTCCCTAAGGGCCCAGTCACACCATAAAGAGTGTGTTCCAGAGCGTCCGGCCTCTAGAACGCACTGGGACCCAAACCGGCTTACTTTGTTTATGGGCGGGAGGGGGCGTGGTGGTGCATTGAAGTCAATGGCACCACAGCCCCGCCCACAGTGCTCTCGTCGGCATCCGAACGCATGGCACGTTGGTGCCTGCGTTCTGGTCCAGTGAGATCTGCAAAAAATGCTGCATGCACTACTTTTTGCAGATCTCACAGGACCGGAACACAGGCAATAATGTGGCACGTGTTCGGGTGCCGGTGATCGCACCGCGGGTGGGGGTCGTGGCTGGCCAGTAAGCCGGCCAGGTTGTGTTCCAGAGGCCGAAGGCTCTGGAACGCACTTTTTATGGTGTGACTGGGCCCTTAGGGAGGAAGCAGGGACGCAAACTGACCACGCTTGAATGGATTTGCTTCTGTGCTTATCATGGTCAGGTACAAACAGGAAGGGCTTTCTATACAATGGGACTGGCAGGATCAACAGGTAACCTTCTACTCCTTATTGAGACAATAGCTATATACAATATATGTCATTTATGAGGGTTGCAGGAATGTAGTCCCTATTTTTATGATTAAACTTAGCATATTGGGCCTGATAAACTTTACCTGGTGCCATGTATGCTTGTGTGTGATAAACAGAGGTCCCCCTGGGACTTGTGTTTATTATGTGCATATTTCACAGTGACAGTGCACAGCCGGCGTGCTGTCACTGTGCAGCTCATTGTCTCACTGGCTTTCCTCTCTCCCCCCACGATCAGGAAGTGATCGCCAGGCAGGAAAAAGAAGTGCAGGGAGCAGAGCTGCCTGCTCTCCCAGTTGAGTGTCCATGCAGACACATTTAGGGCTGGTGCAGACCTCGGCAATCCAGGACACGCATTCCAGGACCGCGCGATCGTGTGCAGTTGCTGCGCGGCCCGATTTACTTCAATGGGGTTACATCCGCGTGGCAATCGCGGAAAAAAGGTACATGTACCTTTTTTTGCGCCATACAACTGTTTTGGCTGCGATCGTGTTGGATTGCACAAGCGGGAAGCTGCTCAATGCGCCCAGCGCAACTCGGGTTCCATTGGAAAAAAATGGCTGGCGGTGGTAGGCAACTCCGTGACTGCACGGCAATCTGCGCAGTTTCGTGCATTATTGCCGCGCTGTCACGGATCGAGCAGGTGTGAACCTAGCCTTAGAGAGAACCGTTGTGCAGGTTCTCCCATCACGGAGTCTGCTCGATGTGCAGCTTTTCTCATCACGGATTCAGCCCGGTGTGCAGCTTCTCCCATCACTGAGTCAGCCCAATGTGCAGCTTCTCCTGTCATGGCGTCAGCCCTGTGTGCAGCTGTTCTCCCATCACAGAGTCAGCTTGATGTGCAGCTTCCCCCGTCACGGAGTCAGCCCGGTGTGCAGCTTCTCCCGTCACGGAGTCAGCCCGATGTGCAGCTTCTCTCTTCACGGAGTCAGCCCGATGTGCAGCTTCTCCCATCACGGAGTCAGCCCGGTGTGCAGCTTCTCCCATCACAGAGTCAGCCCGATGTGCAGCTTCTCCAGTCACGGAGTCAGCCCGATGTGCAGATCTGCACCTGGTTGGACCAGGCGCATGTCCACGGCTGATATCCGTGCTGCATTTTAGCACAGGAATCAGTTTATAGGGCACAGAAATAGGGAGCCAAATAAAAATTTGTGATATTCCAGGTTTTCGCGCACGTGCCACAAATCATCTTCAAAATAGGCAGCCACATGGTTCAGAGAACCACAATCTATGAAAGGGTTTCCTATCACAGGGCAAGTAGATATGTTGTGTACGCAATGGCTGAGTGATGCTTTAAACCTCTGGGGATTAAACTTATAGGGCTGCAATGTGAAAGCGGCATTCACCCAGACGCCATTTCTGCTCCTTTAAAGTGACACTAAACTCTGAAGTCAAATCTTAAAAATGCATTCAAGTACCTTAAAGTGATATTAAAGTCAAAATGTTTAAGTTATTTCAAATGCTGATAAAATCACTCACA